GGATTTCACCATGTTGGCCAGGTTGGTCTCAAATTTCAGACCTCATGATCTGCCCACCTCAGCCTCCCAAAGTGCTGGGATTACAGGTGTGAGCCACTGCACCCGGCATGGTCTTATAGCTTTTTAAACTAGTTTTCTGTGCACCTGATGGTTTGCCTTGCACTGTTGGAAACTGGCTATTGATCAAAGAAGGGGCCTCTACCCTAAAATGTTAGATACAGCTGGATAATAGGGGCTTCTGTCTGTGGCGTATTCTGGAGGTTTCGGAGGGATTTCCAGTTTATAGTTTCAGTGCAGGGGTGCTGGTCTTGCCATCCTGTTACAGGGGGTTAAACTGGAAGCGCATGGACAGCACCGGGATTCAATCACAGTCTTCTCACTCAGCCCACGCAAAGGTATCCACACACCTCACACTGGGGAGACTCTTCTCTGGGGTTCTGGGTCGGCGGTCTCCAATAGTAACCCCAGGCTCAATGACCCACTAGGAGGACTCACAGGACTCAGCATATATTAATGGCAAAAACTGTGATTACCTGATTACTTTTGTGCTAACGTAATAGTTGTACCCACAGCTATGCTTCTTTTTTTTTTGAGACAGAGTTTCACTCTTGTTTCCCAGGCTGGAGTGCAGTGGTGTGATCTCAGCTCACTGCAACCTCCACCTCCCAGGTTCAAGTGATTCCCCTGCTTCAGCCTCCCGAGCAGCTGGGATTACAGGCATGCACTATCATGCCCAGCTAAGTTTCTGTATTTTTAGTAGAGTCGGGGTTTCTCCATGTTAGTCAGGCTGGTCTCCATGTTGGTCAGGCGGGTCTCAGGTGATCCACCCACCTGGGCCTCCCAAAATGCTGGGATAACAGGAATAAGCCACCACACCCAGACCCACAGCTATGCTTTATTACAATGAGAGGTTGCAAAGAAAGCACAATAGCAAAGAAACGGAGTGAAGTCTGGGGAAAACCAGTGGCAAATTTCCAAGGGTCCTCTCCCAGTGGAGTCACACAAGATGCGCTTGATCCCTTCACCACTGAGTTGTGTCAGTGCATGTGAAATGTTGCCAACCAGGGACGCTCCTTAGAGACCCACAGTTTTTACTGGGGCCTCATGATGTGGGCACCATCTGCTTGGCACATACCCACATTCCAGATTCCCAGAAGGAATACAAAATTTTTTTTCTTTTTCAGATGGAGTCTTGCTGTGTTGCCCAAGCTAGAGTGCAATGATGTGATCTTGGCTCACTGCAACCTCTGCCTCTTGGGTTCCAGTGATTTTTGGCTACTTTTTATATTTTTGGTAGAGATGGGGTTTCACCATGTTGGCCAGGTTGGTCTCGAACTCCTGACCTCAGGTGATCTCGGCCTCCCAAAGTGCTGGGATTACAGGGGTGAGCTGGAAAGCAGATATTTGCCATAAATCACATTGTACAAAGAGTATGGGCACAGTGAGCCATCCTTATCAGTTAGGGAATGGTGGAAAACTTCCCCAAATTCAAGCTCCTGAAAGCAGGCCTGTCAAAGGACGGGCAGTCTCAAGCCTGCCATGTGAACTCTTTTCTGCCTAGGTATGAACTCCTTCCTCCTTTCAGACGTCAGTGACATCAGTCAGGGTAAGGGCTGGTTCAAGGAAGGCAAGTGCCCATACTTGGCTTTGAGTGATGGAGTAGTCTCTTGTCTCCGATCAGAGAAAGCCACATGCCACTCTTGCCAGTGTCAAACATATAGCGTGTCTGCTGCTCTGTTTGCCCGCTCTGTGGAGCTCCTGGCCATGTGATTGGCCCTTGATTGCTTCACAGACACTTGTCTGATCTAGACCTGGCCCAAGGCCATCTGGTGGCTTGGTTTTTGCGTGTGACTGGGGTACACTTGCTGCATGGACCCCTTCTTCCCCAGTATTTTTGCACCTTTGGTGGAGTATCTTGGTGAGTTCTTCAGCTGCTACTGAACGTTGTACTCAGGGAGGGTCTGATCATCCAAGATTGGGGTCTGCCGAGCGGTCTGAAATGTTTGTGACAGTGAACCTATACTCTCTTTGGTCGTATTGTTTATCGGTCTCCTGCAGTGACCACAATGTGCAAGGCAGTGTGAGTGATAGACCTGCGTGCCACTGGCACACAACTGGAGTGGCGGAGGGGGAGGGAAGTGTGCACACACCCTGGTCATTCAGTAAGAGGCCTATAGTTTCAGGTGAAGTGCTTTGTGGGAGCCCCTGGATATTCGAACATGTGGCTTTCACTTCCCCTGTAATCTTTTGGGATAAAGTTGGCAAACTATGTCAGTATAGAAAGGCAGGTTTATGAAAAGGCTGTGAGGTTCCCTAGAACAAGATCAATATATGTTTATCCCAAGGGGAAAGGAAGAGGGGAAATGGGCCTGTTCCCCAGATGACTGCTGGATGCTGACAGGTGGAGAGAGGAGATATAAGAAACACCCTGAACAAAATTGAAATTGGCAGCTTGGTGTGTGGTGACTCACACAGCAGGTGTCACCACACGGAGATGTGGCTTTAAGAGGCCCCTTTCATAATCATACACATGGAGCAAACTGTCAGTAAGTTTTGGGGTCATGCTGGATGCTGTACACTTTTTTCTTTTATGTGAGATGCTTTGCCACATCAGCTTACTTTTATTTATCTTTTTAAAGTTCTTGGAGTTCTTATTGCTTATTGATGCTTCATTCCATTTGGCATCTTGTCACATGCTCAGCCACAGCTCTATGTTTAATACCGATTTAACAATCTCGACTCACACCGTTTGATCTGCATTGCTGGGCCATTGCCTGAGACCAAGAGCAGGGCAGGTTGCATGGCTGAGCTTGCATAGGAAACTCCAGATTGTGTTGTCCTTTGAAGCAGCAGGATATGCCACCTTCCTAATCCAGTGTGTGGTTTCCCTGGGCCCACCAGTTGAAGGCCTGACCTGGGCACGACAGTCATTGTCCTTCACAGCCAGGTCCCCACCTCTCTTCCCTACCACCTATCTTCCTCTGGCCATGACCCTTCTTCTAACAAACTTGCCTTACACCTCCTTTGCAAACCACATGCGTTTCATTCCTCAGCCAGCAGGACCCCTCCTCATTGCTGCTGAAATCCTAGCTGGGCAGGCTTAATCCCAGGGTCATCTCAGATGGACCTATGTGGATTTCCCACAGTGATCTGGAGGAAGCAACCTTCTTCTGGATGCCTTTTTGTTTATTATTTCATTTGGCCATGCACCCCATTAGCTGGGTATTTGTTCTTTTCTCTCCATTAGATCAATACGTCCCTCTTCCCCACCAGAATGTGGGGCCACGTCTTCTCAATGTGGTATCCCCTAGGGTGCTGGGCCTCGGGGCTTCTACTTGGAAGACTCTCAAATTTCAGTGAAGTGTATTTATAGGAAATGCACTTTGCAATTTTGGGTTTTGTTCCTAATATAAAGACCCAACAGGCAGGCTGAACCTGCATGTTCTTCCATCAGGTGGCTTCTTTTTTTTTTTTTTTTTTTTTTTAATGATGTTTGCAGCTAGTGATGATCAATCTTAGATTAGTCTAATTCTTTAAAAAAAATTTTTTTTTTTAAAGAGATGGGGTCTTGCTATGTTACCCAGGCTGGTCTGAGAACTCCTGGGCTCAAGTTATCTCCCGCCTTGGCCTCCCAAAGTGCTGGGATTACAAGGTTGAGCCACCTTGTCCAGCTCAGATTAGTCTAATTCTACCACTTCATCCTCATTTATTAGCAGGAATACTTTTATTTATTTTTTTTTTAGATGGAGTCTTGCTCTGTCGCCTGGGCTGGAGTGGTGCAATCTCAGCTTACTGCAACCTCTGCCTGCCAGGTTCAAGCAATTCTCCTGCCTCAGCCTCTCCAGTAGCTAGAATTATAGGTGTGTACCATCACACCTGGCTAATTTTTTGGGTAATTTTAGTAGAGACAGGGTTTCACCATGTTGGCCAGGCTGGTCTTGAACTCCTGACCTCAGGTGATGCATCCTCCTCATCCTCCCAAAGTGCTGAAATTACAGGCATAAGCCACCATGTCTGGCCTTAGCAAGAATACTTCTACTAAGAGAAACTTCCCTTCATCTACTACTCTTTGGTTGCTTAAAGGTACAATTCACATAGGAAGAGCAGAATTAATGCTTGACTCTTTCCTTTTTCTTTTTCACAAGTTTTCAAAATAATGAGTTGATTCTTCTCTTCCAGTGGTGGCCAATTGGTTGTGTTTTCTTAAGTATCATTCTCATAGATATGAGCATGTTTGATGTGTTTCCCACTACTATCATTACCCTTAAAGATGCTCATGTTGTGCGGCCATGTCTTTAGTTAGTGGAAATCTCAACTTGGTCCTAGAGCCCTTTGGAAGGACCCCTAATAGCTTCCTTGCTATCTGGCTTTAAACCATGGCTCTTCTTGTACTTTTTTTTTTTTTGACACAGGGTTTCACTCTTGTTCCCCAGGCTGGAGTGCAATGGCACAATCTCAGCTGACTGCAATCTGCCTCCCCGGTTCAAGCAATTCTCCTGCCTAAGCCTCCCAAGTAGCTGGGATTATAGGCGCCCACCACCACACTCAGCTAATGTTTATATATATATATATTTTTTTTTAGTAGAGATGGGGTTTCACCATGTTGTCCAGGCTGTTCTCGAATTCCTGACCTCAGGTTATCCACCCACCTTGGCCTCCCAAAATGCTGGGATTACAGGCATGAGCCACCGCACCCGGCCTTGTGCTTGTCTTGTCCCAGCCCTGGAGTCAGCCATTTCTCCAAGGAGCCACATTTCTTTTTAGTGGGAAATAGTGTTTGAAGGTCATAATCTTGGTGCCATAAGGGGTCATTGTCACCCAGTTGGTCATTGTTTCTAGGTCTTTTTAGTATATAGAGCTAGGAAATAAAGCTAGGAAATATCTATATTTGTTTTATACAGAGCTAGGAAATATATATATTTATACAATGTTAGATACAGATATATGTATGTGTATATATATATAAATACATTTATATATTTGTACATGTACAAATACATTTATATCCTAGATTGGTATAAAAAAACATACAATATGTTTGTTCTTTTTAAAGACATATTATCAGTTCATACTGGTATTTTCAATACAAAATTAAGACCAGTCTGGGCACAGTGGCTCATGTCTATAATTCCAGCACTTTGGTAGCCAAAGTGGATGGATCCCTTGAGTCTAGGAGTTCAAGACCAGCCTGAAGAACATGTCAAAACCCCATCTCTACAAAAACTATAAAAATTAGGCAGGCATCGTGATGTGTGCCTGTGGTCCCAGCTACTCAGGAGGCTGAAGTGGGAGGATTGCTTGAGCCTAGGAGGTGGAAGTTGCAATGAGCCAAGATCACATTACTGGACTTTGGCCTGGGTGACACAATGAGACTTTATCTTAAAAATAATAATAATAATAATAATACTTAAGTCCATGGTGTTTTTGCTTAGGTAGAACTCATTTTCTCTGTGTTTCATCTCCTTGCTGAAGCCCACCGTGGTGTCTGCCTGGTCCCCTTTAGCTGGGGTGTGTTGGTAATCATCATAATCCCAGAGCCTGTGTGATGACGTAGGTGTCTGGAGACCTGTAGAAAGATCTTTCTCACTTTATTCAGCTAATGCTCAGACTCCAGACTGGGCTTTATACATCTCTCCCAGAGGTACTCACGTGACATGAAAGGTGCAGGCCAATGCTGGTATAATATGCAGGGTAATGCAAGTGACCCAAAAGGAGATCAATGGCAAGCAGATCCATGGGGAAGCAACTCTTCGAGAAAGACAGAGCATTTCAGACTGTTTTAGACTGTGTTCTTCAGATCTCCTTTACCACTGGTGGTTTTTGCCTCTAGCTTCCTCCTCCCCATGCCCCTCTTTCTTTCCCAAGCCTTGGGACTTGATGTAACCCTCTCACCTCACCTTTTCCTCCCACCTGGCAGAATGACATCTTTGTTCGCCTAGAGCAGTACATCAGCTGGGAGAGGAGGAGCCCAGGAAATTCTTGTTGAACTGAAATGTGCTCGAGCCTTTCCACCTCCTTCATTTGCCCTGGGAAGAGAGGGCCAGATGTATATGTGTTGGTTTTGGGTCCTTTGAAAGTTTTAAGTAAGCATGTACATGGCCATTTCCAGGAGGTCAGGGTTCCCAACTGCGATGGAACCTCAGCATCCTCTGTCATCCTTTTGCACATTGTATGAAATGAAAAGTAGAAAACTGATCAGGAATAGAATATTTCAGGAAACAATCTTTTATATGTGTGTTGATCTTTACAAGTTAAGAGGTACTTTTCCACACACTTCATCACACTTCCAGTCTTTATGACTGTTGGAAATAGATGCTCAGTGCCATAAAGAAAAATCAACACAGAGACAAGGATCTTTCAGCAATGCAGTTTTTACTTCCTGGACTGCAGGAAGGGTACCCTTGCGAGCTGTCTTGCCATGAGAGTACAATGAACAAAGGAAAGCAGATATATTCATTCCTTACGCATTTGGGGTTGTCCTTACTGCTGTGTCTGATCTTCATTGGCTGGAGCCAGACTTCACAATCTAAACTAAAACCCAGTTGGCTAACAACTTAAAACTTTTCTAAACAGGTAAAATCAATGGAGAGCTGGGACATGCCTGTGAGCACGTCCAGCACAGATATCTTGGTTAAAGTACAAGGACATAGAATGTACCTTGTGCCTGTAAGCATGGCATGTCTAACAGCTATGTAGGATAGGGCTTAACAAAGAGTTATTAGCACACTTCTGATTTGTTTTTTAACAAGAAAGGAAACTTTAAAGAGGAAGTTTTTTACTTCCCACAATGACCTGGGAGGGTATTATAGCATTCATGATCACCCTCATTTTACAGATGGGGAAAACAAGGAACAGAAAGTGTAGGTGCTTTGTCTAAGGCCCAGCAACTTCCATCACTGTTCATCATTTTCTTCCATATACAGGTTGTATCTTGGGGTCATTATGGACATAACCTCAGCTCTTTATTCTTTTATTCATTCATCCAGCAATACATCTATTTAGTGCCCTTTATGTGCCAGGCCTCCTTCTTGGGCTGCCAGTAAAGGAAGAAGCCCCAGTTTTTTTTGTTTGTTTTGTTTTTGTATTTTTTGAGATCGAGTCTTACTCTGTCACCCAGGCTGGAGTGGTGTAGTGGCACCATCACGGCTCACTGCAGCCTCAATGTTCTGCGCTAAAGCAATCCTCCTACCTCAGCCTCGAGAGTAGCTAGAACTACAGGTGTGCATCACCACGCATGCTTAATTTTTTTATTTCTTTGTAGAGATGAAGCCTCACTATGTTGACCTGGTTGGTTTCAAACTCCTGGCTTAAAGCGATCCACCAGCCTTGGCCTTCCAAAGTGCTGGGATTACAGGTGTGAGTGAGCCATGGTGCCCAGCCGGAGCGCTGGTCTTTACACAGTCCTGTACTTGTAGACCCTGAGCCTGTCGGGCAGGGGCCAGTTGCCTGAACTTTGGCAAAAACTCACTCACTTTTTTTTTTAATGGAGATTTTCAACAAGTATGGAAAGCAAATCAATTAAATAAACCAGCACAGATTGTTTCCTGGAACATACTGGTTAATTTAAGACACTTCCTGAGAGAGCTCAGCTTCAGGCTGTCTGGTTCCTGAGTGCTGACCAGCTTTTAAGTATGAATGTAACCATGTAGACAGGTCTGCAACTGTCCATGCATGGCGCTGTGTGTGTCCCCCAAACAAACAGTGTCTCTGCCAGCTGCCCCATCCCAGGGCAGCAGAGGTATAGCAGCCATTCTGGCATCTCCCCAGAATGACAAAGACAGAGATAGTCTTGGTCTGTCACCCAGACTGGAGTGTGCAGTGGCGTGATCTTGGCTCACAGCAACCTCTGCCCCCGGGTTCAAGCGATTCTCCCACCTCAGCCTTCCAAGTAGCTGGGACTATAGACATGTACCACCATGCGTGGCTATTTTTTTTTTTTTTTTTTTTTTGTATTTTTAGTAGAGACAGGGTTTCCCCATGTTTGGCCAGGCTGGTCTTGAACTTCTGACCTCAAGTAATCCTCCCACCTTGGCCTCCCAAAGTGCTGGGATTACAGGGTTGAGCCACTGTGCCCAGCCTCTTCTACTCTTTATTAAATGCTTACTACTTTCCAAACATTTTATGTTCATTATTTCATTTAGTCCGCAAAATAACATTTTTTTTTTTTTTTTTTTTGAGACGGAGTTTCGCTCTTGTTACCCAGGCTGGAGTACAATGGCGCAATCTCGGCTCACCGCAACCTCCGCCTCCTGGGTTCAGGCAATTCTCCTGCCTCAGCCTCCTGAGTAGCTGGGATTACAGGCACGCACCACCATGCCCAGCTAATTTTCTGTATTTTTATTAGAGACGGGGTTTCACCATGTTGACCAGGATGGTCTCGATCTCTTGACCTCGTGATACACCCACCTCGGCCTCCCAAAGTGCTGGGATTACAGGCGTGAGCCACCCCACCTGGCCAACATTTTTTCTTAAAATTTATTATTATTATTTACTAATTTATTTTTAGAGAGAGAATCTTGCTTTGTCATCGAGGCTGGAGTGGAGTAGTGCTATCATAGCTCACTGCAGCCTTAAACTCCTTGGCTCAAGTGATCCTCCGGCCTCAGCCTCCCAGGTAGCTTGGACTACAGGCACATGCCACCGTACCTGGCTAATTTTATTTTGAGATGGGGTCTTGCTGTGTTGCTCAGGCTGGTCCCAAACTCCTGGATTCAAGTGATCGTCCTGCCTTGGCCTCCCAAAGGGCTGGGATTACAAATATGAGCCACTGTACTCAGCCTAGACTTTTCTTTTCTTTTAGATTTTATTTATTTTAATTTTTACTGCATTAAAAAATTTCAATAGGTTTTTGGGGACTAGGTGGTGTTTGGGTTCATGGATAGGTTCTTTAGTGGTGATTTCTGAGATTTTGGTGCACCTGTCACTCAAGCTGTACAGTATACCCAGTGTGTAGTCTTTATCCCTCAACCCCTTCCCATCCTTTCCCCAGAGTCCCTAAAGTCCACTGTGCCATTCTTATGCCTCTGCATCCTCACAGCTTAGCTTCCACTTATGAATGAGAACATATGATGTTTAGTTTTCCATTCCTGAGTTACTCACTTAGAATAATGGTCTCCAGTTCCATCCAGGTTGCTGCAGATGCCGTTATTTCATTCTGTTTTATGGCTAAGTAGTTTTCCATGGTGTGTGCGTGTGTGTATATGTATATCTTCATGTTTTCTTTATCTACGAATTTTGGCTGGTTCCATAAACTTTTTTTTTTCTTACTCCCATATCTGAGATGAGGAAACTGGGGTTAAGAAGGGTAAGTAAGTTGCCATGTGACAGCTCCTAGGTAGGTGGTAGGCAGGTAACCCAGATGGTCTGACTGTTTAGCTCGTGCACTCTCTGGTGTGCAGTACTATACTGTAACTGACAGATGTGCTAAGATGAGGCATGCGGAAACAGGAATTTGCTTTGCTACCAGTCTGCTTTCACTTATAAGAATCTTTGAAAAGAGGGAGACAGGTTTCAAAACCTCAATGTTTTATTTTTTGAGATGGAGTCTACCTTTGTTGCGCAGGCTGCAGTGCAGTGGTGTGATCTCGGCTCACTGCAACCTCTGCCTCCCAGGTTCAAGTGATTCTTCTGCCTCAGCCTCCTGAGTAGCTGGGATTACAGGTGCCCACCACCACACTTGGCTAATTTTTTGTATTTTTAGTAGAGATGGGAGGGTTTTGCTATGTTGGTCAGACAGGTCTCAAACTCCTGACCTCAAGCAAATCGCCTGCCTCGGCCTCCCAAAGTGCTGGGATTACAGGTGTGAGCCACCACACCTTGCTATCAGTGTTCTATATTACCCCATGTCATCATGGGTTGGACAAAAGCTTTCCTACCTAATTTTTTTTTTTTTTTGAGACAAAGTCTCAGTCTGTTGCCTGGGCTGGAGTGCAGTGCTGCGATCTCGGCTCACTACAACCTCCATGTCCTGGGTTCAAGCCATTCTCCTGCCTCAGCCTCTCGAGTAGCTGGGACTACAGGTGCATGCCACCATGCCTGGCTAATTTTTGTATTTTTAGCAGAGATGGGGTTTCTCTATGTTGGCCAGGCTGGTCTTGAACTCCTGACCCTGTGATCTAGCCACCTTAGCCTCCCAAAGTTTTAGGATTACAGGCATGAGCCACTGGGCCCAGCCCATCCTACCTGAATTTAAGTTATCTGGCTCTTCAAAGAAAAACTTAATCTGTGACACAAAACTTTGACTGAAACAGTACCCTGTATTTTTTCCCTGTTCTATCTTAGATTTTTTTTTTTTTCTGAGACAGAGTTTTGCTTGCTCTGTCACCCAGGCTGGTGTTCAGAGGTGCAATCTCAGCTCACTATAACCTCTGCCTCCTGGGTTCAAGTGATTCTCCTGCCTCAGCCTACTGAGTAGCTGGGATTACAGATACCCACCACCATGTCTGGCTAATTTTTGTATTTTTAGTAGAGATGGGGTTTCACCATGTTGGCCAGGCTGGTCTTGAACTCCTGACCTCATGTTCCACCCGCCTCAGCCTCCCAAAGTGCTGGGATTACAGTCATGAGCCACTGCGCCTGGTAATTTTATTATTTTTTAATGGCTGAACAGTATTTCATTGTGCATATATGCCACATTTTCTTTATCCATTCATCCATTGGACACTTAGGCAGATTCCATATCTTGGCTATTGAGAATAGTCCTTCAATAAATATGGAAGTGCAGATATCTCTTCCAAACAGTGATTTGTTTTCGTGTGTGTGTTTTTTTAACTGGGTAAAAAACACATAACATAAAAATTACCATCTTAACTATTTTTAAGTATGCAGTTCAGTAGCATTGTGTATATTCACGTTGTTGTGAAACACATCTCCAAAATGTTTCATCCTGCAAATATGAAACTCTGTGTTTATCGGACAACTTCTCCCCTTTTCCCCTTCCGTAGCCCCTGGTAACCACCATTCTATTTTCTATTTCTGTGAACCTCACTGCTTTAGATACTTCATAAAATGGGATCCTACAGTATCTGTCTGTTCGTAAGTAGCTTAGTTCACTTGGCATAATGTCCTCAAGGTTCATACAAGTCATAGCATGTGTCAGAATTTCCTTCCTTTTTAAGGCTGAATATTCTACTTTAAGTATAGACCACATTTTGCTTGTTCGTTTGTTATTTTCATTTACTATTGCTTATTCATTTATTATGAAATGTCCATGGACAGTTCAGTTGCTTCCTCCTCTTGGTCATTGGGAATCGTGCTGCTATGAACATGGATGTGCAAATATCTCAAGACCTGCTTTCAATTCTTTCAGTTCTTTTTTTTCTATTTTTAAAAGTTTTTGGCCAGGCGCGGTGGCTCACGCCTATAATCCCAGCTCTTTGGGAGGCTGAGGCGGGTGGATCACGAGGTCAAGAGATCGAGACCATCCTGGTCAAAAAGGTGAAACCCCGTCTCTACTAAAAATACAAAAATTAACTGGGCATGCTGGCTCATGCCTGTAGTCCCAGCTACTCAGGAGGCTGAGGCAGGAGAATTGCTTGAACCCCCCCCCCAAAAAAAATAGTGAGAAGCGCGCCCTGCATTTGTGTTCCTGGAAGAAAATGGAGAAGCAGCATCTTCTAAAGCCTGTTCTTTCAAGTGTCTTGGTTGGTGCCCAAAGTGAAATCCAGAACGCAGCCAGAGCTGAGGCTGCCCCAAGACTCATACTTGCTAAGACTTACGTCGCCAACTTCAGTCGCACACGGTGGCTCATGCCTGTAACCCCAGAGTTTTGGGAGGCTGAGGCAGGTGGATCACAAGGTCAAGAGATGAAGACCATCCTGGCCAACATGGTGAAGCCCTGTCTCTACTAAAAATACAAAAATTAGCGGGGCCTGGTGACACAGGCTGAGACAGGAGAATCGCCTGAAGCCGGGAAGCAGAGGTTGCAGTGACCCGAGATTGTGCCACTGCACTCCAGCCGGAGCCAGGCAACAGAGCAAGACTTCATCTCAAAAAAAAAAAGAATTACGCCGCCGACTTCACACCCAGAGAGCATCTTTCTTTTAGGTGAAAATACATATATTTATTTTTTGTAAGTTATACCTTTCTTTTGCATTAGGTAAACCAAGTTTTGGGGGATCCTTTTGTAATGACTTACACTTGAAATACGAACATTTGCAGTAAAAAAAAAAATACATATTAAAAAAAAATATTTTTTTTTGAGATGGCTCACTACAGCCCCAACCTCTGGGGCCCAAGTTATCCTCCCACCTCAGCCTCCTGAGTAGCTAGGACTACAGCCATGCACACCACCATGCATACCTAATTTTTAGTTTTTTTTTTTTCTTGAGATGGAGTTTGGTTGTTGTTGCCCAGGCTGGAGTGAAATGGCACGATCTTGGCTCACTGTAACCTCTGCCTCCCAGGTTCAAGAAATTCTCTGCCTCAGTCTCCTGAGTACCTGGGATTACAGGCACGTTCTATCACACCCGGCTAATTTTTGGATTTTTAGTAGAGACGAAGTTTCACCATGTTGGCCAGGATGGTCTTGAACTCCTGACCTCAGGTGATCTACCCACCTTGGCCTCCCAAAGTGCTAGGATTACAGGCATGAGCTACCACTCCTGGAATTTATTTATTTATTTAATAGATAGGATCTTGCTGTGTTACCCAAGCTGGTCTCAAATTCCCGAGCTCAAGTGATCCTCACACTTTGGCCTCCCAAAGTATCCCACCTCAGCTTCCTAAAGTACTGGAATTACAGGCATGTGCCACCATTCCAACCACGAGCATCTTTTCATATGCTTGTTGATCATTTGTACAACATCTTTAGAGCACTGTTGATTCAAATCCTTGGCTCATTTTTTAATCAGTTATTTGATTTTTGTTGTTGAGTTGTACAAGTTCGTCTTACATTCTGGACATTAATCATATAACTAGGCAGATATATGATTCGCAAATATTTTCTCCTATTCCATAAGATTCCTTTTTACTTTGTGGATTGTTTGTCCTTTGACGTAGTCCCATTTGTCTGTTTTGGCTTTTGTTACCTGTGCTTTTGGTGTCATAGCCAATAAATCATTGCCAAATCCAATGTCATGAAACTTCATGCCTGTGGTTTTTTCTAGGAGTTTGACAGATGTTACATTTAGGGCTTTAAATCTATTTTGTTTTAATTTAATTTATTCATTCATTTATTTATTGAGACAGGATCTTGCTGTGTTGCTCAGGCTGATCTTAAACTCCTGGCCTCCAGTGATTCTCCCAGCTTAGCCTCCCAAGTAGCTGGGATTACAGGCAAGAGCCATCGCACCTTGCTGGGTCTGTAATCCATTTTGAGTTAATTTTTGCGTATGGTGTAAGGTAAGGGTCTAACTTCATTCTTTTGCATAAGGACATACAGTTTTTTCAACATCATTTGTTGAAGAGACCCCATGGAGTGGTCTTGGCATCCTTGTCAAAGATCATTTGATGCAGGGAGAAAATCAAGGCCTTTTGAAAAATGCCTACACTAAGGAGAAATGAAAACTCGTTGTTTCAATGCCCAGCTGCAGCTATGCCATCCAGCCCAGATTGGAAGCTACATCGAGGAAGGCAGGCAGACCTCTAAGTTTCCTTCTCACATCTCTAGGCTTTGCTAACTAGCCATAAAGCCCTGTACTTCCAAAAAGAATGATTGCCATAGCCTGTAAGAAAGTAGATGGAAGTCAAAAGCAGATGCTGAGGTTGCTGACAAAGATTGCTGGTTGAGACTTGTATTTTGACACTGAAGAGTCTCCTTATTCATCTTGTATTCATCTCAAATATATGCCACCATGAATCCCCCTCAGGACTGGCCTCACTTCTGCCTCTCCCGCATCATCATCTCCTGCTGATCCCTTGCTCCACTGTGACACTCCAGTGACAGTGGGCTCTATGTGCATTCTGACAGGGGAAGGTGGGCATGAGTTAGAACCAAGTCCCCAACTCACCTGTGCTCCTGGATCATGCAGCTTCAAAACATTGCTCGGAGATGATTTAAACTCAGAGGTTAAAGCAGCATTAGTTTACTCTGGCTTGAGGGTCCCCAGATGACCGGGGCAGATCTCCTTCAGGCAGTGCCACTTGGGAGTAAGCTAGGGGGTGTGTCTTCCCATTGTGACACCGGAAGTACAGGAGGGTGAGTGGGAGTCACAGCACTCCAGCTTCAGCCTGCACCCCCTCATTGCATTCCACATTCCATTGGCTGAATCAAGGCACATGGCCTGGTCCAATATCAGTGGGGTGGGAAGATACCCATTCCCCACTCTAGCAGATCCTGCAAAGTCCAGTGGTAAAGGGTGTGGACTTATAATAGTAGTTCAGGGATGGCAGAAAGAATTGGGAGAAATACTTCAGTCTGTCACAGCCTCCAACCTCCCTCCTGACGATCACACCCTTTCATCTCTTTATATATAGAATAAGAGGACTGGGCTAAGTGATGTCTGGGGTTCCTTCTAGCCTTACCTTTCTGAAAATTTGAAGGGAAACCATCTGGAAGAAGGAGGAGGAGAGACGAGATAGCAAAGATGGCCTGTATGCTTGGCACTGGGCTTGGCACATCAAGGGACTCGGGAAAAGTCTCTTGACTTAATGGCTTGGAGATCTGAGTCCAGGAGGCCAGGAAGCTGGTGACTGACCTAGTAGGGAAGAATGGGGGATGCTTTAGCTGGGCCGCAGCTGTTCACTGACCTCCTACCCCTGGGACCACAGTCTCTGGGCGCTGCTGTTGGAGTTGCAGCTTTACATCTTTGGAGTTGCAGGGACAGCATCCAGATGCTGGTCTCCCCTTTCTTTCCCTGCCATCACTAACATATCTGTTGCAGTAATGGCCCCGGCCCTTGCTTCTGAACCCTGAGGCAGCATGGGAACAGGGCTGATGGTATGTTCTGGTTCTCAGACTTGGGAGCCTTGCAGGCAGACTGAGTGGGGACTTTTTGCTGAGTCGTTCATGCACTGTGACAAGAAAGGCACCTTCTTTGAATTTTCTACTTTTAGAAAATAAAATTATTTTGCTAGATAAAGGCATGGAAGCAGTTTTCTTCTTTTGAATCCTGCAGTTCTCCTAAGTTTGTATTTATTTTATCTGTCAGCTTACTGAGCCTTTTCCTTATAGAGGTAGGATTAGAGTGTTCTTAACCTTGAGCTGATTCCCATTCTGCCTTCTCTCCAGCCTGTACTTACCCAAGTGCCTTGCAGCCCTCTCGACATTTTCCCTGGCTTCAGGCTGCCGCCCTCCTTGCTCCCCTTCCCTTCCAGCCTTAGTTTGTTGCTCGGTGGCAATGCGTCATTATGTGTGCATGTGCAGCTGTGTGGCAGGACCAGTAGCTTGTGTTTTGTCTGTTTCCTCCCAGAAGACCCAGCCCACAATAAATCAGTGTTCAGTAACTGATAGCCAGCCATACATTGCACAGATGTGCCTTGATGAGATTTTCCAGGTCTCTGGAAAAGTTACATGGTGTGGTGGCAGAAGAATCTCTAGGTAGGAAAGGAACTTAAAAGTCACCAAGACTGGGCACAATGGCTCATACCTGTAATCCCAGCCTCAAGGTGAGTGGATCACTTGAGGCCAGAAGTTTGAGACCAGCCTGGCCAGCATGGCGAGATCCCATCTCTACCAAAAATACAAAACTAGCGGTGTGGTGGCGTACCCCTGTAATCCCAGCTACTCAGAAGGCTGAGGCATGAGAATTGATTGAACCAAAGAGGCAGAGGTTGCAGTGAGCTGAGATGGCATCATTGCACTCCAGCCTGGGCAACAGAGTGGGACTTTGTCTCAAAAAAAAAGAAGAAGAAGTCACCGAGCCAGAGCCAGGATAGCTTGAAGCCAGGAGTTCAAGACCAGCCTGGGCAGCGTAGACCCATCTCTAAAAAACAAACAAGCAACAACCAAGAAAAAGTGCCATCAAGCCAACCGTCTCTCTGTTCATTGACTTCTTTCCGTAGCATCTCAACCCCCTTAGCAGCAGCCTCCGAGCAAACCTCTCAGGTGACAGAGAGCAAAGCTCTAAGACAAGCTCGTTGTTCCTTAAACAACTCTGAATGTTAGAAAATTTTTCTGTTGGGCTGAGATAGGTTTCTGAGCAACCTCTGTCCTCATTAGGATGTTTCTCTGTCCCACACAGCAGGGGTTATCCCTTCCACATGGCTGTACTTGTCATCTTCAGAGAGCCTGGCTCAGTGTTCCTATGTATTATCTGTTGCCACATAACAAATCACCTTGAAATTTAGCACTGTGAGGCAACAATAAGCATTATCTCACAGTTTCCATGGGTCAGGAATTCACACATGGGTGATTAATTGGGGTGATCCTGAGTGGGCTTGGGATCTGTCATGAGGGTTGCTGTCATTTGAAGGCTTGACTGTGGCTGGAGGCTCCACTTCCAATGTGGCTCACTCACACGCTTGGCAAAATGGTGCAGGCAATTGGCAGGAGGCCTCAGTTCCTCCCCTGTGGATTTCTCCAAAGGGCTGCTTGAGTGTCCTCACAACATGGCAGCTGGGTTTTCTAAGGGAGAATGAGCCAAGACAGAGCAAGGCAGGAATCCCAGTGTACCTACCCTGAAATCCACACTCAATTTCTACAATATCATCTCAGTTACATGGATAATCCCTGATCAGTGAGGGAGGAAAATGCCACACACTTCCATGACCTTCACTTTCCTTATCTGTCAACAGCCCTGTTTGGCTATTTGAAACAAAAAGGGAAGAAGTCCATGACAAACTGTTTCGTAAGTGTAAGGGATATTTTTGAATATAAGGATTTGGCTAGTAATGAATGCTTGACTAATGAGAACCTCCTGTTTAACTCCCATATTCCTGTTTAACAGGAAACCAGGACTGGATTTGCCAGAAGATGAGGAAGACGTAGTTGAGGCCTCCTTGGGGAGCAACCAGGTTGTAGAACCTTGTCATGGGGAGACTCCTGTCTGCTGATGGAGTCCTTTCCTCGCTCAGTCCAAATGGTGGATGGGAGGCCAAGCATGGTGGCTTACCCCTGTAATGCCAGCACTGTGGGAGGCTGAAGCAGGCAGATCACTTGAGGTCAGGAGTTCGAGACTAGCCTGGCCAACATGGTGAAACCCTGTCTCTATTAAAAATGCAATACATTAGCTAAGTATGGTGGTGGGTACCTGTAATCCCAGCTACTGGGGAGGCTGAGGCAGGCGAATCACTTGAACCTGGGAGGCAGAGGTTGTAGTGAGCTGAGATCGCACCACTGCACTCCAGCCTGGGTGACAGAGGGAGACTTCATTTCAAAGAAAAATAACCCCCCCAAAACAAAAGATGCATGGGAGAAAGAAGGCCACATGTGGTTGCTGGGTGCTGTGGGGGCCCATGAGAGTGGCTGACTCATCTGTCTTGTTCACCACTGTGAACCCAGTGCCTGGTCCGTGGCAGGCCCTCAGTGAATGCCGCACTGACTGAATGAAGAATGAGTGTGTGGAGCAGGTGTGAAGGTCATCTCCCACGCAGACTCTGGGGAGTCTGCAGCTGCCTGTGGTGTGGGGTCTTTGGTTCTGTAGGCCACTGTTGTGTTTTGACAGGAGTTTACCTGCCATTCCTGCTTCAAATGAAGCTTGATGGGAGTCACTTTTACATAAGGTGATTTCATCTATTGTTCATGTCAGTGTCTATAATACTGGAGGCTGTGAAGGGAAGAAGCAGAATTCCTGAATAAATTCACCATCAGATCTGTAAGCTCATATTGTAATCCGAACATTTAAGTTTATAATTGGCCTCAGTGTGTTAAATTTGGAGTAAAATGTTTCCTTAATTATCTCAAATTCATGGCATTTCCATCTTTCACTTGGCTTGGTAACTGGTTTTCTTTTTCAGAAACTTCTTTGCTTAGTATAGTATTTTGGTAGGTTTTTGTGCTGTGAGATTTTTAAGCTTGTGAAAGGAAGAGTCTGGGTTGCAGGAATATCCAATAGATTGTGGCTGCAGCTACCGAGGTTATGTGATGACTTAAAAAACAAATCTGCGTGGTGGCTCACGCCTGTAATCCAAGCACTTTGGAGTCCAAGGCGGGCGGATCACCTGAGTTCAGGAGTTCAAGATCAGCCTGACCAACATGGTGAAACCCCGTCTTTATAAAAAAAATAATAATAAATAAAAAAAACAAATCTGTTCAAGTATCCTGAATTCTTCTGTGGAGGAGAGTCTGGGTGCATAGGCCCAGCCCTGTGCCCTTGAGACCCTGCAAGCTCCCAACTTGTCATGAGACACTTAGCGCACAGCCTCATTCTGGTGCCTGGCTCCCTGGGACTCAAGAGGTCCCCTCTGTCACCAAAGTCATTCAGTGCTGCTGTTTGTCATGGCTACACACAGGGAAGATTTAAACAATACCTACATATTTTATTTTTTATTTTGGAAATTTTCAAAATATACAAAAATGGAGATGTTGGTGTAGTGAAATCCTTGTCGACATCATCCAGAGTCAACAAGTCTCACCTTAGGAGTCCATCTAGGGCCCGCACTCAATCAAACCCCACACATCTTCAACTTACATTTGTAAATATTTTAGTACAGTGTGTTATCTCTTTAGAGTTTCAAAAAAAAGTAATCAAAATAGTATAAACATGCCTAAGAATTTAACAATGATTACTTAATATTATCAAATATCTAGTCAAAACTCAAATTTCCCCACTGATTTATAATTTTGTTTATGGTTTCTAGAAATCAAGATCCAAATAACTTTCTTTCTTTCCTTCTCTTCTCTGTTCTGTTCTTTTCCTTCTCTTTTCCTTCCTTCCTTTCTTTTCTTTTTCTTTCTTCTTTCTTTCTCTTTCTTTTTCCTTTTTTCTTCCCTCTCTCTTTCTTTCTCTCTGTCTTTTCTTTTTTTCTTTTTCTTCTTTTTTTTTGTGTTTGTGTGACTCTGTCACCCAGACTGGAGTGTAGTGGCATGATCGCAGTTCACTGCAGTCTTTACCTCTTGAGATCAAGTGATCCTCCCACCTCAGCCCTCCGAAAAGCTGGGACTACAGGCATGTCCCACCATGTCAGGCTAATTCTTTTCGAATTTTAGTAAAGACAGAGTCTCACTATATTGCCCAGCCTGGTCTCGAACTCCTGGGTGCAAGTGATTCTCCTAGCTTGGCTTCCCAGAGTGCTGCTGGGATTATAGGCATGAGCCACCACGCTTGGCCCAAATAACTTTCATACCTTACAGCTGGTTGATACAAAAATACACCCAGCTAATTTTGTATTTTTAGTAGAGATTTCACCATATTGGTCAAGCTGGTCTTGAACTCCTGTGCT